TGGGGGGCTCTGGCTGCTCTGATAACAGCCCTGCTCTTATCAGGGCGCTGCCAAGCGCTCCCCTCCCTGTGGGTTTTGGGGTCCCCCCCCCACCTCACTGCTTGGGGCGGACTCGGAGTGATTGGGGGGGTTTGGGGGGGGGCAGCACCCCACTGTTTGCCCTGTGATCCCACGGTGTGGGGCGCAGTGGGCAGAAGGGGGAACCTCCCCATCCTGAACCCCATTTTTAGGGTGATGATGTTTGAGGGGGGGCCATTAGGGTGGGGTGCTGCTCATGGGGGGGGGGGGGGGTTATGGAGGTGGGGTGCGGCGGGGGGGTGATGCTTATGCAGGGTAGTGGTTATGGGGGGGGTGGTTATAGGGGGTGATGGTTATGGGGGGGGATGATGGTTATGGGGGGGTGATGGTTATGGGGGAATGGTGGTGTTAATGGGGGGGTGGGGGGGTGGTTATGGGGGGGATGGAGGTGATGGTTATGAGGGGGGATGATTATGGGGGGGTGATGGGTATGGGGGGGTGGGGTTATAGGGGGGGAATGGGGGGTGAACGTTATGAGGGGGGATGATTATGGGGGGAATGGGGGGTGATGGCTATGGGGGATGCATTGTCATAAGGGACAGCGTTCATGGGGGTCTATGAGGGGGGGGCATCTGTGGGGGGGTGATGGCTATGGGGGGGGGTGATCGTTATGGGGGGGTGATGGCTATGGGGGGTGATGGTTATGGGGGGGGATGATGGTTAGGGGGGGTGATGGTTATGGGGGGGTGATGGTTATGGGAGGGTGATGGTTATGGGGGGGGTGATGGTTATGGGGGGGTGATGGCTATGGGGGGGTGATGGTTATGGGGGGGGATGGTTATGGGGGGGTGATGGTTATGGGGGGGTGATGGTTATGGGGGGGTGATGGTTATGGGGGGTGATGGTTATGGGGGATGATGGTTATGGGGGGGTGATGGCTATGGGGGGTGATGGTTATGGGGGGTGATGGTTATGGGGGGGTGATGGCTATGGGGGGGGTGATGGTTATGGGGGTGATGGTTATGGGGGGTGTGGGGGGGGATGATGGTGGGGGGGGGGCAATGGGGGGGGACGGCCGGCAGAGCGAGCACCGTCGGGGGGGGGATTGGTGCTCATGGGGGGGGGGGGCGACGGGGCAGCGCTGCTCCCAGAAGGCGCTCAGCATCGCGGTGGGGGGGGGGGGGGGGGGGAGCGATGCTCAGACAGCGATGCTGCGGGGGGGGGAGGAATGGGGGGGGGGTGACGCTCCCCCAAAATGCACCTCGCCCCCCACCCCCCCCCCTCCATCCCCATCCCTGCGGGGCTGATTCCGGGAGCGGGAGGCCCCAACCCGCAGCGACGCGGGGGTAGGAGGAGGGGGCCGGGGGGGGGCGGGGGGGGGCACCGCGCGTGGCCGTGGGCCCCAACGCCTTCGCCCCGCGGCGGATGGCAGCGGGCTGCGTGCGGGCTGCCATGGCTCTGGGGCTCTCCTCCAAGAAAGCGTCCTCCAGAAACATCGCCGTGGAGAGGAGAAACCTCATCACCGTGTGCAGGTTGGGGGGGGAGGGGGGGGGGGCGGAAAATATAGGAAAAATGCACAGATGTGGGGGGAAGGGGCTCCGGGGAGGAGGAGATGGGGAGAGGGGAGGTGGTCGGTGGGGGTGGGGGATGGAGGGGGGGTGGAATGTGCGCCGTTGTGGCCCTTTGAGCTGAGAGGGGATGTGGGGGGTGGATGGGGGGTTACTTGTGTTGATTTGGGGGTGAAGAATGAAACGTGGGGGTTGGGGATGCGGCGGGGAGGATGCCGATGGGGAAAGGTGGGGGTGCTTGTGGGGCGGGGGGGGGCGCACACATAGATACACACAGTGAGGGCCAAAGGCTCGGGGGGGGGGAGAAATGAGGGGGGGTCCAGGGCTGCAAAACAGCGTGGGGAAAGAAGGTTCTGGGGGTGCTGGGGGCGGCCATGGGGAGATGGGGAGCAGCTGGAGGGGAGGGGGATGTGGGGGGAGGCCCTTGTGGGGGATTCGAGGTTGGGGGGGGGCGGCTGGGACCCCCCCCCCGCCCCCCCACTCGGTGGGTGTGGGGCTGAGGAAGTGACGTCAGGCCTTGAGCCCGGCGGGCTGGGGGAGGAGGGCAGCGGGATGCGGGATGGAGGATGCGGGTTGCCATGGCGACGCCGGCTGGACCGGGATGCGGGGATGGGGTCTGGGGGGGGCTCTGCTGTTCTCTACCCCCCCCCGCAGTGCGGGGATGCCCCCCCAGCCCCCAGTAGTGGCTGTGAGCACAGCGTGGCCCCCAGCTGCGCCGTGGGGGGCAGCAGGTTGGGGTCACTGCGCCCCCATCTCCCCGCCTGCACTTCCTGGTGCCCCTCCACCGAGCGGCAGGGACTTGTGCACCTCTTATCTGTTATATAGGTCACCCCCATCTGACAGCCCCCCACCCTCACTGCCGTGCCCCTCCAGGTGCTCCCCATCCCCCCCCCCCCCCACATCTCCAGCCTCCTCAGGTCCACCTCAGCCTGCGCTGGGCTTTTTCCCTCAGCATCGCCCTGGCCAGCGGCGGAAGGGAAAACCATCACCGCCCGCACGGCCGGGAGGAAAGGGGCCTTTGTTCGCCCTTCCGGGCCGTGCGCAATGAGGGGCAGCGGCGGACGCCCTGTGGGGTCCCCCGGGGACGTGGGGACAGAGGGCAGAGCCCGGAGTCCTGCAGGGTTGGGCTGGGGCAGGGATGGCTGGAGAAGCGTCCCCGTGTACAAGGGGTGTGAAATGGGGACAAGGTGTGGGGACGTGAGGGGGGGGACGCGCGTTGGGAAGGCGCCATGGGGACACGGTGTGGGGGGGTCACGCTGTAGGGACATGTTGTAGGGACACGGCGTGGGGGCATACGGTGGGGTCACACCATGGGGGCTTGCTCTAGGGACGTGCCATGGGGACACAGGATGAGGACAAAGCAGGAGGATGCAGTGTGAGGACGCACCATGGGGTCGCACCGTGGGGACACACGATGGGGTCACGCTGTGGGGCCGCGCCATAGGGACACACAGTAGGGATACACCACGAGGACGTGCCGTGGGGACACAGCACAGGGACTTAGGATGAGAACACAGCAGTCGGACGCACGTCACACCATGGGGACACACGGCGAGGGTGCTGTGTGGGGACGTGGCACGGGGGACGCAAAGCGGGGACGCGTCCCCTCCAGCCCCGTGGCCCCGTGTCCCCCCAGGTTCTCGGTGAAGACGCTGCTGGAGAAGCACACAGCTGAGCCCATCGACGACTCCTCCGAGGAGTTTGTCAACTTCGCCGCCATCCTCGAGCAGATCCTCAGCCACCGCTTCAAAGGTACGGCGGGGGCCTCCCCGTCCCCCCCCCCCCCCCCCCCCTCCATCCCCTTCCTGTCCCCCCATGTCCCAGATGGGGACACGAGCTCCCAGCGCCGTCCCCAGGCCCCGTCAGCTGGTTCAGCTCAGATGGGCAGCGTGGCTTCTGGGATTACATCCGCCTGGCCTGCAGCAAGGTGCCCAACAACTGCGTCAGCAGCATCGAGAGCATGGAGAACATCAGCACCTCCAGGGCCAAGGTCAGGGGGAGCCCCTCCATCCCCGGCCCTGAGCCGCCCCCATTCCATCCCCACTCCCAGCTCCCATCCCTGGCCCCACTGCCATCCAGGACGCTGCCAGCCCTGGCCCACAGCCCCCTCCTTATCCCCTGTCTCTGTCTCTGTTCCCATCCTCCCTCCAGCTTCACCCCCATCCCACCCCACTGACCACTCCATCCCCATCCACTGCCCCTCCCATCCCCTCCTTGTTCCCATCTTCCCACCCTATTTCCATCCCAAACGCCATCCGTATCCCCTGCCCCATTCCCGTCCTCCCTCTGCCTTCATCTCCATCCCCATCCCTATCCCTGTCCGCATCCCTTTTCCATCTTCATTTTCTCCCCATCCATGTCCCCATCCTCCACCCCCATTGCCATCCTCAGCCCCGTCCATGTTTCCAACCTTGTTCCCATCCTCTCCCCTATTGCCACCCTCATCCCCATCCACGTCCCCACCCCCCTCCCCATCGCCATACCCAGCCCTCTCCCTGTCCCCAATTCCCATTCCCATCCTCTCTTTCTCCCCATCCCCGTCCCCCCATCTCACCCCCACCCCGCAGCCCAAGCACAGCCACACCATTCCCAGGCAGGGTTCCACGGGGGGTGGGATGGGGCTCCCGTGGCACAGGGGGACGAGGCACGGCGCTGCCATGGGGCGGGATGGAGGTGGCACAGCACTGTGAGCCCCACTGCAGGGCCGGGCGTGGATCCGCGTGGCGCTGATGGAGAAGCGCATTTCGGACTACATCACCACGGCACTGCGGGACTCACGGACCACCAGGTGAGCTGCGATCCCTCCTCCCCCCCCCCCTCACCTTCCCATCCCCCCCCCCCACCCATGGGTGCCCACCCCATCCCCGCACACCCCGCAGGCGGTTCTATGACGACGGGGCCATCATGCTGCGGGAGGAATCCACGCTGCTGGTCGGGATGCTCATCGGGCTCGGCGCCATCGACTTCAGGTGGGATGCGGGCAGGTGCCCACCGTGCCCCCCCAGTGCTCCCCCCCGCTCACCCCCCTGCTCATCCCCTTCTCCCCACCCCCCCAGCTTCTGCCTGAAGGGCGAGGTGATGGACGGCAAGGTGCCGGCGGTCATCGACTACACGCCGTACCTGAAGTTCACACAGAGGTACGCGCAGCCCCTCTGCCCACCGCTGGGCCCTCGCAGCCGCTGAGCCCCCCGTGCCTCCCCCCAGCTACGACTACCTGAGCGAGGAGGAGGAGCGGGGCAGCATGGGGAGCAGCACCAGTGAGGACAGCTCGCCTGAGCACCCCTACCTGCCGCTGGTCACCGACGAGGACAGCTGGTACAACAAGTGGCGCAAGATGGAGCAGAAGTTCCGCATCGTTTACGCCCAAAAGGTACCGGGGTGGGGGGCAGCGGGTGGTGACCCCCATGGGGGGGTGCTGCAGATCTCAGCATCCCGTGCTGCTTCCCGGATCCCGTTGGTCCTTGGGATGAGATCGCCTGGGTCTCAATTCTTACTCTGAACATCCCGTGTCCTGCTGGTATCCGGGATGGAGCCACCTGGGTACCAACCCTGATGGGATCTCCAGCTCTCAGCATCCTGTCCTGTCTCCTGGATCCTGCTGGTGCTTGAGATGGAGCCACCTGCGGGCCGATCTTCCAGCTTTGGGCATCCCACTTCCTAGTGGTGCTTGGGATGGGGCAACCTGGATAGGGACCCTTATGGGATGCTCCAGTCCTCAGCATCCTGTTCTGCCTCCTGCGTTCCAGTGGTATCTGGAGGGAGGCCAGCTGGGTGCTGACCCTCATAGGATGCTCCCACTCTGAACATTCCATGTCCTGATGGTATCTGGGACGGGGCCACCTGGGCACCAACCTTTATGGGATGCTCCAGCTCTCAGCATCCTGTCTCCTGGATCCTACTGGTCCTTGGGACGAGGCCGCCTGCATGTCAATCCTCATGGGATGCTCCAGCTTTGAGCATCCCATATTCTGGTGGTCCTTGGGATGGGGCTTCCTGGGTACCGATCCTTATGGGATGCTGCAGCCCTGAGCACCCCGTGCACGGCTCGCTGCTGCCCACATCCCTGTGGCACCCGGGAGGATGCTGAGCCAGCCCTGTCCCCATCACCCCACACTGGGTGGCACTGCTGATGGTGGCCTGCAGGGGTACCTGGAGGAGTTGGTGCGGCTGCGGGAGTCGCAGCTGAAGGACCTGGAGGCGGAGAACAAGCGGCTGAAGCTGCGGCTGGAGGAGGCGGTGGTGCAGAACCAGCTGGAGAAGAAGGAGCTGGAGGGCGTCATCCTGGAGCTGCAGGAGCAGCTGTGAGTGGGGTCCCATTCCATTCCATTCCATTCCATTCCTTTCCATTCCATCCCATCCCATCCCCATCCCATCCCATTCCCATCCCCATTCCTATCCCATCCCATCTCCATCTCCATCCCATCCCATCCCATCCCATCCCATCTCCATCTCCATCCCATCCCATCCCATCCCATCCCATCCTATCCCCATCCCATCCCATCCCATCCCATCCCATCCCATCCCATCCCATCCCCATCCCATCCCATCCCATCTCCATCTCCATCCCATCCCATCCCATCCCATTCCATCCCATCCCATCCCATCCCATCCCATCCCATCCCCATCCCATCCCATCCCATCCCATCCCATCCCATCCCATTCCATCCCCATCCCATCCCATCCCATCCCATCCCCATCCCATCCCATCCCATCCCATCCCATCCCATCCCATCCCATCCCATCCCATCCCCATCTCATCCCCATCCCACACTGCTGTGGGTGATGGGTGCCAACTGCTCCACGTGCCCTGGGAGTCCTCAGTGCTCCGTGTGCCCTATAGGACACACTGTCCCCCCATTCACCCGTGGGGCACGATGGGTTGTGGGCCCCCCTCGCTCACCGTTCCCCCCCCCATGTGTGCCACAGGACGGGGCTGATCCCATGTGAGAACCCCCAGCTGGCGCAGCTCTCCAAGGAGATGGTGACACCTTTGGTGAACCAGTGGCCATCGCTGGGGACGCTCAACGGCAACGAGAGCGGCTCGGACAGCAAGCTGTACAGGAGGTAACGGAGGGGGAGGGGGAAGGGGACAGAGCCGCCGACCCGCACCCTATCGGCCCCGGGGGGGGAGGGAACTGAGCGCCGTCCCTCCGCAGGCACAGCTTCGTGAGCACCGACCAGCTGTCGGCCGAGAACAGCCTCAGCTCCGACTCCCAGCGCCTGGGCGAGGGCAAGCGCGAAGGCGAGCCCTGGGGGCCCTTGGGTAAGACCCCCCCATGGGGTGCTGCACGGGGTCCCCAACCACAGGTCCCCCCCTCCCCCCCACTCTAGGGCTGCTTCCCACTCAGCCGTCGGGTCCCCACCCCCCCCCGGTCCGGCCCCATCCCCTTCGCAGCCCCCGCCACGCGCTCTGTCCCCGCAGGGAAGGACCCCACGCCCTCCATGCTGGGGCTCTGCGGCTCCCTGGCCTCGCTGCCCAGCTGCAAGTCCCTGGCCAGCCTCAAATCCAACGAGTGCCTGGTGAGCGACAGCAACGAAGCCAGCCCCACCCGCAGCCCCAGCTGAGACCCCCGGCCCCCCCGTCCGGCAGCGCCGCGGAGGACTGAACCTCATCCCCTCCTTGCTGGGACCGACGCAGGATGAAGGACGCAGAGCCGTCGGGACGGGGATGGGACGCGAACGCCCCCATATCCACCGAGCTGGGCAGGGGGTGATGAACTGTGCGGCACGGGGAACCCTGGAGAACGCTGCTGGGTGCAGAGGAGGGGTCTGGGGTCAAACACCCCCTCCTCAGCACCCGTGGGACCCGACTGCTTCTCCTGCAACACCATCCCCGAAACTGATAGGAACCCGCTCCCCTCCCGCCCCCTTCTCCCTTTGGGTTTGGATTCAACCTCATCTTGCCTTGTTGGTGCAAAAGGAATCAATAAACGCAGCGATAGGAGCTGGGCTCTGCTTGCAGCCAGCCAAGGGGGGTGAAGGAAAAGAGCAAAGCGCCCCCCAGACGTGATGGGGGACTGCAGGGCGCCCCAGCTGGCAGCTCCCTATAGCACAGCACAGCTGGGGGCTGCCAACCACGGCCCCTGGGAGCCTGGCTGCAGGTGAGCATCGCTCTCCTCTCTCCGGAGGATGGGGAGGACTCCACACCCTAGGAGACCTTTAGTTTTATTTAATGAGAGAAACTGCCCCCCCAAGGTGGAAGGAGGGCAGCTCCCACACAGGGCAGACCCTCGTGGTGAAGGGTCAGGTCACAGATCCAAGCCTGGCCCCACGGAGCAGCAGGGAGGTCTGTCCCCACACAGGGTCCAAACCCAGGGCAACTGGGGGCCGGGGAGGTCCTGAGGAGGAGGAAAGGTCCGGAGGCAGAGCTGTGGTGAGTCCCCACGTCATGCAGGGCTACAGGGGAGGCTGTGCGTAATGAGGAAGGGCACAAAGCGGGGCTCAGGCACACGGAGCAGCCCCCAGGGTTTGGTCCAGCTTGGAGCCCCGGCTCCTGCCCTCAAGGAGGCTGGGAGCAGCCAGCCTGAGTCCAGCAGCAGCGTCTGTCCAATGCAGGAGGTGAGCACAGGCACGGCCACGCAGGGCTGCATCCCCACAGCATCACAGCGGGCACCAATGCCCCCAGCAGGGCACGATGGAGGCGGTCCCCCCCCGGCTGTGTCCACGCTGTGAGCCACGTCCAGGCCGTGGAGGGCGCCGTGGGAAGGCACTTGGGCCAGCAGCAGGGCTGGCACCGGCCCTGCTCCATGGAGCACAGCTCCCAGCTCACAGCCCCCGCAGCCGCCGCTCCTGGTTCAGCTTCTGGAAGAAGGTTTTGCCAAACTCGTAGGTGCTGATCATGATGGCACAGGCGGGTGCCACCTTAATGACACGGGGCAGGAAGCCTGCAAGGACAGCACTGTCAGCCCCATGCCCACAAACCCCAAACCGGGGCAAGAAGGGGAGCGCGTGTTAAAGCCCTACCTGCAAACAGCCCCCGCGTGCCAGACTCAGCACGGATGCGCTGCAGGAGCAGCCAGGTGGACGAAGGCTTGGAGGCTGCAGCTGCAAGGAGAGAGGAGGGGGTTTAGGGGATGCCCAGAGCCCCAACACCTGCTGCACAGCGAGAAGCCCCCTCACCTGGGTGCAGCTCGCTGTCTCCCAGCTGGATCTGCCGCTGGGTCTTCACCACATCGAAGGGCAGCGTCAGCACGGCGGCCACCTGCAGCAAGCAGGCAGGGCAGTGCGTGCCATCCCGCTTCTCTTGTCCGCCCCGGGGGGCTGCAGCCCCCAAGCCCCCCCACTCACCGTCCCAGAGATGGCCCCGGACACAAAGCTGACCATGAAGGTGGCCTCATCCAGCCGGGTTTGCCTGCACAGCCACTCCCGCACCAGCTCGTAGTTGAACCAGTAGAGAGCTGGGAGGAGAGAAATGCCGGCGCTGCACCGAGACCGCGGGGCGCCACCCCGTGTCCCCACTCCCCGTCCCACAGCCATACCGGAGAAGGGGACGTCCCGCAGCACCGTGGGCCCCCATCCCCTCCACAGGGACAGCCAGCCATCCTGAGCCACCGCCGACTGGATGCAGACGCGCAGCTCGCGGTAGCTGAGCTGTCGGGATTGCATCTTGGTGCGGATCAGCTCCAAGGGGCTGATCAACGTCACAGCACCCACTGCAGGGGGGGGAAAGCAGAGGTCAGAGCCGTGCAGCGGGAGCAGAGGGGGGGCTGTGAGGCGCCGTGCTACTCACGCCGAGCGAGGGCCCCCGCCAGCAGCGGGATGTGGGGGCCCCGGCTCCCGGTGCGGGCGTGCAGGCAGTCCCGCAGCTGGTCGTAGGTGGTGAAATAGATGACGGTGGCTGGCACAGCCATCACCCTGCGAGGAGATGGGGGATGAGGGCGGCCCGGGGTGGGGGCACAGAGCGGGGGTCCCACCGCCCAGATCCATACTCACAGCGTTGGGGGGAGCCCGCTCCACAGGGACCTGATGCCCTCGTGGCGTGTGATCTTCACAAAGGCATCCTGTGGGGATGCACGCAGAAGGGTTGGACGGGGCCAAGGGCACCTCTGGGCCCCCACCCCGGGACAGGCAGTCCCTGCAGCCCCTACCAGCGTGCCGTTGAAGCAGGTGGGGGTCTTGTACCAGGCAGTGCAGCTGTTGCCATTCTGACAGACGTACAGATGATCCATGAGCCCGTTGCAGTAGAGGAAACACTTCCCTGAGAGAGTGGAAGACGAGACAGCGTCACCGCCAGACCGACCCCAGCCTGGACGCATCCCTCTGCCCGCCTCCAGGCCATCACATCTCCCAGGACAGCACTGAAGCCTCGTGCATCACAGCAGGGCTGGGGGAGACAGCAAGGCGATTCCCCGTTGCCTGCAAGCATCCTGCCCCACCAGCAGCACCCAGGCACCATCAGCACACTCAGTGGGACCAAGCAAGGGAAAGGCTCGGGTCCAGGATGTCCCTGGCGACGACGCCAGCAGAGAAGCAAGCTGGAGCCAGGGGGATCTTTAACCCCCACGTACTCACATGTGGCATGCTGTGAGCCCTGGGGCACCGATCGCACCAACCACGCTGAAACACAACAGGGACAGGCTGAGCGATGGCACTGGGGATGCGCCACCCTCGTGGGACCGCTGTCCTGTGTCCCTGCACCCAGCACGGGGCCACGCAGAGCCCGGGGGGGGGTTGGCCAGGAGGTGTGGGGTGGTCACACAGCACAGACACCAGCAGCGGAGGGAGGAAGATGGAGAGGTGCCCTGGAGCACACCGAGCTTCCACCCAGCCCTGAACTGGGACAGAGGTGCGCATGGCATCCGCCTGCCCCACTGCTGCCACCCCCAGCCCAGCACTGCTTGGGGATGCCAGTCCCCACGGAGGTACCTTTGGAGAAGGGCGTCCTCTGGGCCTGCAGTCTGATCTTCACCACATCCAGGGGTGTCACTGCAACAGCACCACTCTGTTAGCTGCCGCCCCCCCACCATCAGCCATAACCCAGAGTTATGTGTCCTCCTCCCCCCCCCCCCACCTTCCCGAGGCCTCACCAAAGAGGGAGGTGAGGATGGCACCTGTCCCAGAGGCCAACATCTGCTGCAGGGGTGTGATGGCCCCGCTGGGGCCCGGCGATGTCTTCTCAGCCATGGTACTGCCCTCCTGTAACAGAGCATGCTCAGGGGGCTTCACCCACGCCCCCAGCCCAGTAAGTGCCCATCTTGGGGCTGGGGGTCTGTCTGGAGCACCCCCGTGCTGCACCCCAGCCGTGCTATCAGCACCGCACAGGGAGGGCGGCCCCCTCCTTGCTGCCTGCACCCTGTAATCAGGGGGGACCCTCCTGGGGCCACCGGGCCCCGATAACAGCAGTAGCTGCTGGCTGAGGGCCCGAGGGGAGGAGGTGCTGCGTCCTCCCAGGAGGGGACGTTAAGGGACGGAACAAAGTGCAAAGAGCAGAACGCTGTGGCCCCCTCCTGGCCCCAGCTCGGTGCAGCCCAGGAGGCGTGGGGTGCAGGAAGAGCTCAGCAAAGGACTTGGAGGTGCAAAGTGTCAGTGAGGGCAGAGCTGGGCGCAGCGCACCCTTTGCTATGGGGTCTGCAGCCAGGGGCTCAGCAGGGATCTCAGCAGGGGACAGGCAGCAGAGTTCTGCCAGCCAGAACGCACTCGAGCAGCAGACAGATTTCCAGGCACAATTCGACACAGAACAGAGCTTAAAAAAATAAAGTCCAAATTGCCTTTGCCATCTGACTCAGCAGTTCTGCAAGGTCAGCACAGCAGGCTGGTGGAAAGGGCTGGGGCAGGGAACGGTGCTGTGCTGTGCCAGCAGGGCCCTTCCCTCCAGGGGTAATGGGAGTGGGGGAAACGCGGTGCTGGGCACTGCCAGCCCCACAACCCACAGCTAAGAGGATGAGGAGCAGCTGCGGGGCTCCGTGAGCAGCCGGGGGAACACAGACGTGCTGCTGTGGGGCACCCTACTGCCAGCACTGCAGTAAGACGTGAGGACAACGAAGGCCGGCAATTAAGGCAAGGGACAACAGCCTGCAGGGCCCGAAGAGCCGCCACTGAACCCCAGGGACACGGGAGGATCCCAGGGGCAGCATCTCACTCGGGGGCGCGCAGCTGGAGGTGACACGGGGGGGCTCCACCACCCTCCCCCTCCCCCCCTCAACGTGAGAGCTCCCAGCCCCGCCACGCCCCTCTGACCCCCCCGCCCCCAAGTTTTGCCCACCTTCGGGCTAAGCACTCCCCACGCAACCCCCCCACTTTTGCCCCCCCCAGCACTCTTCCCCCCCTCCCGGTGCTCGCACTTCCCCCACCCCCACCAAAACCTTGACTTCCCCTCGTCTCTCCCACCACCACGGGGAAAATGAGGCAGCCGGGACCCCAAAAGGGGCCGCGGAGGGGTGTTCCGGGACCGCCCCCACCTGCTCATGCCGGCCCCAAGCGGCGCTGCCGTCCCCCAGCACCGGAAGGGCCGCTGGTGGCGGCGCCTTTAAGGAGCCCCATGGGCGCCGCGCGCTGCTCTACGCCGCCCCGCGCCGCTTCCGCCCCGCAGCCACGGCCTCGCGCATGCGCCCTGCGGCACGCAGCGCCCCCTGCCGGGCTGGAGGACACGGGCACGTGGGGGGCTGCGGGCGGCAGTGGGGCGGCTGAGCCGGGAAGGGCTCCGCACGCTGGTGGTGCTGGCAGGGACGCACGGCTCCACGCTCGCGGCGCTGGCAGAAGCACGCCTTGCACACCCGCACCCTTAAGCGCTGGGCTGGCACACTCACAGTTCCGGCGCTGTCAAGGTGGGCGCGGGGCTCGCAACGCTCGCGCTGTTGGGTGAGCAGCAGCGGTGCTCCCGTCTGTGTGCACGCAGCGCTGGGTGCAGGTGGCAGGGATTGGAGGTTTGCCCGAGCAAAAGAATGTTGCCCCGGGGGCAGGGCAGCACCTCGGGAGGCACTGCTCCAGTTAGAGCCTGTGCGGCCA